TTTATCTGCTTTTTAAAATGCTTATATACATAAATATTCTCCTTTACTACACTTACATGTATATTGGTTAATTATTCATTATGCAAAAGAAAAAAAAAGATTTTTTAAATAGGTTAATCAGGTTTATTGTAGATAAGATAAGCGTTCTAAAAAAAAGAACTTCAAATATCTTTAATAATTGAATGGCAAAGATTCAAAATTATGCGCTTATCACAGAGTAGAAATATTTGACATGTTAACTAGAAGAATAGCTTTTTTTGTGTTAGAAAACCTTCATATAAGGCAAAACACTTTTTTTATTTTCTTCCATATTGAAGTTAAAACTGATCGAATTTTCGGTAAAAAAAAGTTAATTAAGTTATAATCATCGACCGTAATAACAAATATCGAGCATTTATATTCGATTTACTTCTTGATTTTACTTTTAGTAGATTCAGTTAACTTGAAATAATAAATCAATTTGATTTAATTCACGTGTTTGATAAAATAAATGAAAATATCAGATATCCCAGAAGAAATGGACTCGTCTCAATATTTTATCAATGTCTTCGACAATTCTCATTATTTCGACTTGAATTTTTTACCAAAAGATTCTTGAATTCAATTCTCTACAAATGCATCGAGGACATTTCAATATAAAAAATGTTGGCTGTGCAACGTACGGACAAATCTCCTCGTTCATTCAGAAACGTCTTGACAATTTCTTTCTGAATTTTAAATCAAATTTCATTCGTCGTGTAATCAGCTATCTTCATGTACAAATGTATCGAACATATTGGTAAAAAAAAATCTGAATCACTTTGAAAAAATTTCTGTTTTTATGTGCTATATTAACTTTTTGAGTTCAAATATTGTCGTAATTTTAAAAAAATGATTTCTTTACCAAGTTTAGATAACGATCTAGTATGAAATTTGGATTTCGTGAAAACAGTATTAGATGAGAATATGAATTACAGCAATTTCACTGTGTTTTTTATGAAATTGTCCCATGTATATATTCCTATGTTTGTTAAACAACTGTAATTAAAGACAATAAGGAAGAGTACCCTTGAAAACATAGACAAGATGACACGGACGTGATCAGACGCATATATAGTTAGAGACAAAAATAGAACTAGTTATTAAAAGAAAATACTCTTACAAAATCCGTCACTTTGGTGATGTGCATTCATTAGTGCAGAACGTTTGGCTGTTAGTTATTATACTGAAATGTTTTCCATGCATCTGTAGAGAATTGATCAAGGAGTCGTTTGTTAAAAAGCTCAAATCGAAGTCATGGAAATTGACGATGATATTGACGAAATACTGAGAGGCTCATTTACTTTGGGACATTCATTAGATGTATTTTATTGTTCTTCAATGTAAAATACTTACATTTATAGATAATTTTCTGACTATTGTATCATGTATTCATGTGCAAGTTATGTTTTCTTGAATTTATGCTTTGAGCATGAACGCATGTGTAATAAAATACATTTCTCGTTGTATGACACAACAGTAATCTTTAAAATATGAAAATCTAAGAATAGTATTTTAAAACTGAAACCATTCTATCCTATTTCTTATTTTCTAAAATGATGATAATCTTTAAGATATGTTGTGATGAAATGTAGATTATATTCATTGTTAGTATAATCACTTATATTTTATTTAAACATGAAATCTCTATATCGTGCTACTTATTGTTTATTTTTATACGTTCATCTCTATTTATATCAACACGTACGGATAGTATTTCACTACTCTTGTTCTTCCTTTTTATTGTATCGACAAACAGAAAAGAGACATGAAAGAATACAGAGGTTAAGGTAACAAAAGCAAAGACAAGAGAGTGACACATCAATGCCTACTGCAAGTGTAATAATTGTTATGATAAGTGACTATAACCGATTTGTCTTTTATCAACGTTCAAGATTATAATTATGGTTAAAAATCTTAACTGTAGCTAATAGTTATGATAAGTTCAACTTTCGATCGACTTACTCTATTATGAAATTTTCAAAGATACAGTTTTAATTGGAAAGAATGTTTGCTTGATAACTATATGTTCCATAAAAATAATTGTAATGTTCGTGTTTCCTTCGTAGCTGTTGACATAGCAAAAAATTTTTACTGTTGCACTGCAATGACTACGTTATTTCATTCGGAGTCGACGGGTAAATACGAGAAAATATAACTTGTAGATGAATAAAGGAAAAAAACGATGAGAGAATAATATATAGATGCAAATTAAATTTAAAGTAAAGAATAATGTTGAGACAATCAGAATGGTAGTGTCATTTGACTTTTGAGTCAGAATCTAGCATTTGGATACTTTGTCTGAGCACTACTTCTGTGTCATCAAACTTAATTTTCTTCAATGAATTATAAAAAGCGAAGTAGATTCAAAACTGAGGCTTCAGCTCTACTTTCTATAATCATGCGAACAAATAAAATAAAAAGCACTAACACACTAAACAAAAAATCAAGCACAATGAAACATTTTTTTCTCATTTATTCTATCAAACATGTCAATTAAATGAAAGTAGTTTAATGTTTCAACTCCATGATATTTGAGAGATATATTCATCAAGCAAAGGTTTGAAATAACTTCATTGACAACCTAAAATTTTTTGTCGATCTTCATTCTATATATTTAATTGGGTTTTTTGTTTTATTTGAAAGAGTATGTCAACATGCATGAGATGACAGAGTTCTTTTTTTTTTTATTAAGTTCTTACTTTTTATGTAAAAAACAAGAATGACAAGTTGAGAATCTCGAAAAGCTCTCTAAAAATCACGATCTATTTATTTAAGTATTTGTATATATATATATAATGAAAAGATTAATTAAAAAATAGACTCTCATTCTCTGCATTTGGTCATGATTTTTCAGCCCATACAAAATCATGTAGGTAGAACGAGAGTTTGCAGACAAATCTAGGTTGAGCAATAAAAACAGCGTAAATAGAGAAAAAAATGAAAAACATTTTTTGAATAGAAATTTGATGACATTTTAGCATTTTTAGGTCTTTTCTTGTTGTTGCTCGATTTGAAGAGAACAATTACCAACCACAATATATATTTTTGAATTACGTGTAAAGAAACATCTTTTGTAACTCTTTAAACATCATTAATTAAGGAGTCTGATTTTCTACCACACGAATATAATGAACTTGCTCGAATATGTTCTACTAAAATAAACTGTCAGTTGACTTACGCGGAAACCTTTTCAGATGTTTTCTTCTGAATTCAATTGCTTATAGATACTAAATAGCGTTCTAATAAAAACTTTAAAAAAGATTTGAGTTCCTATTGAGATTTGACTAAGGTATCGAATTTTTTTCTAGAGATCCCAGATTTTCCGGAAAACTCGTATTTTTGAATTTTGATTTGAAACTTCGCGCAAATAGAGAACCCAACTAGACTAACTGTCATAGAAAAATTAAGAAGTTCTGAACAAAGTCTCTTCGAAATACGAGTTTTTTGGAACATCTGAGATCTCAAAAAAAAAACTGGATAGCTTAGTCAAATCTCAATAGGAACTCAAATCCTTTAAATATTTTTATTAGAACACTATATAGTATCTATAGGCAAAAAATCATTGGAATCGGAAGGGAGAATCTGTGCAGGCTCCCTTGTAAGTCTTCTTGTTATTAAAGATTATATTCATCATAAGCATTCCTTGCTTTTATGGAAATTAATATAGTAACTATGATTTATAAACAGTCATCAGAAAGAAAAGACAAAAATTAACCTAAGAACTAGCAGACTGTTATGACATATCGATCACAATAGATCACATTGTTTTAGATGGTTTTTTTCTCTCATCATCATTGGATGAGCTTTACTTTTTTTACGAACGATAATGACGTTTATCAAAGTACTTTTACATTTTCTTAAAATGTTTATTTTTAAAGCAAAGAACTGACAAATATGCCTTTTTTTCTTAGAAAAAACTCTTATATTTTTAGCAAGAAAGATGTAAATTACTAAAAAAACGGGATGCTAAAATTAAAAATCATGTTATTTCTGCAATTACAGAACTCAGGCTATCTTCTCATGGTTTTATCACAATTTTCACATGTTTTTCAGGGCGAATGGTTGATGTTTATAATCCTCTTAATTACTGATCGCTTTTCTCAACTATGAACTTAGAAAAAAAAGTTCTCATTATCAGTCAGATAATTATTGAATTTTATTTTAAACAACTAAGTACTTTTTACGCATTTCATGAGACTATTGATAAAAATAAAATAGATTTAATTTTTCATTATTTAAAAATTAAAACCATTCTGATGAATAGTTTTTTAACAAAAACATAACATAACATTGAATAAGTTTTGTGATATTTCAATAAGAAAAAATTAGGTTCCAAGGAAGCACAATTATGCATTTAAAAAAACATTTTAGTTTCAAAACAATATGCTGAGAAAATCATGTCTAAAAAGATTTGTTAATGATGTTCGCTTTTGTTAATTAAATAACACCAATTCGCATTATAATTTGTAGATAGATAAAAGTACATTCATAAAACTTCGGTTGAGCTAGTTTCTTCATTATCATCTGCGAGAAGAAAAATAAAGCTAAGAACTCACTATTGTACTTGAACTAGTGACACGTAAAAAAAAATGTTCATGATGGATGATTTCACCAATTATATAATGAGGAAACTGTAAGAGATTAAAGCTATTCAAGAGAAAAAGAATATAGTGACATTTAGAAATCGAAAAAATATTAATTAATTGTCAGTAATAAATTTACCCTTCTAAATAGTATAAAATCTTTTAATAATTTGATTCAATCTTTCTTATATACTGAATTTCAATGATATATAACTCGATGCTGTCGAAATTCTTCCAAAAATATCTAACTACATATTCTCGTACTTTGATCTCGAATAAAAATATAATAAGATTGTTAAGAAAAAGAAAAAGATTTTTTTATATGTTTCTTGAAATGAAACGACAATCAAAAAAACAACATCTATGACTGGATTACAATATAATTTGGTTAAGTTTTTATGAAATAGATAGGTTTTCTATTGGTGTTATTTCTTCAATATTAGTCAAAGGCATATGTTTTTTTGATGCATAACGTATCTGTAATTGTTTGTGGCTACTTGATCGGAATGCTCGTTTTAGTTGTGGAGAGACCATTAATAAAGTAACACTACATATAATCATACATAATATCATTAAAAATCGAAGTAATCGATAAAAAAGTGGATGAAGACTTTTATAAAAAAATGTTAAAATCCAAAGTATAATTCCTGTACTACTTGTTTGTAGTATAATAATAACTAGTAAAAGAACTCTTCGGATTGTTGATATATCACGTTTAATACGTCTCCATTGTTTTTTAGTTTGTAACTTATGTTTCATATAAATTACAATTTTTATATAAAGTACAAGTATTCCAGTAACAGGTATTACAGCTGTTATCAATGAAATATATGCTGCTGTCCATCGATCATGAAATGGACTTAAACAGAAATGATCAGATGATATATAAATAGAACGAGATAGTATAGGTAGTAATAAAACTATAATAAATAACCAATGAGCAAGGATTAATTGGATATGAAAATATAGGTTTTGCAAAAGATCTCGATTAGGTATAACAATTCTCCAAAAACGATAAAGTGCTTGTAAAAAACATGAACCATATACACCTGCTCCAAATAGTGACATTAAGAAACCCAAAAGATGACAATGCCATGAAACAAAATTTTCATTTCGTTTTTCTTGATATAAATCACCATATAAAGTTCTAATACACATTGTTATGAGTGTTGATAATATTCCGATGAGATGAATATATGTATTAATTGAATGGAGAAGTCCAATGCGACGACTATGATGTTTTTTAGAACATTTTGTAAATTTACCATGACGAATCAAAATAATAATAATAACAAAGTTAAAAATAATTCCTATACTACCGAACAAGATTGCAATAAAAATAATAGTAATACCAGATGATGTTAAGTTATGATTGAATGTACCGTTTAACATTTTTCTTTTTTTGGAAAAACCTGAAATTAATTCTATATAAATAACTTTCTATACGTAGATCAAAAGGACATGAATATTGAAAGAGCACGCTCTCGCTTCTTTTCAATGCATAGAAAATTTAAAAACATCGTGAGAAATTTTTTCAGGTTTTAATTCTTAAGCTGAATAACCAATTAAAAATCTCGATGTCTACTAGTTATGGGTTTCCTTTGTATTAGACGTTAATTATACTATTCATGCAAACATAAACAATCAATATAAATATCTAGTTATCTTAATGAGATAACTTTAAATATTTGATAGTTATTATCTATATTTGAATACTTTCAATCTATTGAAGATATTTTTAAAACTAAACACCTAGTTTTTATATATGAGACAAAAGAAAAGAAATCTAAAGGTCAAATTTTCATATAGAAATTAACCTTATCTTCTATCCTACACGATCGTCGTTCATTATAAACCTTTATTAATGAATACTTCTGTCAAACCTGGTGTGAAGTCTTTTGTAACTTTTTCAATTTAAGAAAAGATTATTTTCAAGGAGAAAAAAAAATCGTATTCAACTTTGACACTGAATACTTCAAGAATGATAAAGGACATGATTTTGCTAAGAAAACTTACGCTCTAATCATCAAGTGCTTAACATACAGGAAATATAAAAAAAGTGCATCTATGTGCCCTTGAAAAATTTAGAAGGGACAAGAGGTTTTTTGAAAACAAAATGTCATAGTGAGGTTGCTTCTATTTTAGTTTGATTATATTAGCAAACTAACTCAAATTTAACAAACTAGATCCATAGAGATGCATTTAACAATAGAACAACTCTATGAGATTTTAGTTTGAAATACTTACTAAATTGTCTTTACTTCGAAAATAAATTGCACGAACTCATATTATTTTGTCGACTCTGTTAACTATGAAACATCATAACTGTCTAAAAGTCAGATGTGGTTCTTCTATTAAATTATCTTTGACACAAAAATATTCTATAACCTAATCATTTTGCTATTTTTACTTCACAAATATATACATCTACTTTCTATGTCAAACGGATCTCAGTTAATAATTTTAGCGCCTTAAAACTTCTTTTACCGATACACAGGATGGAACATAATTACAATAATGACAAAAAGAATAAGCATTGTACTCTTTTTTTTATTTCACCAACAAAAACTCGTCGGTCTCTTCTTAACATACTAAGTCAAACGGAAAAATTTGATACATTAACTTATGGAAACCTATTAGAAACAAAAGTAAATTTTGTCAAGCGTTTATTTCCACACAATACTATTTATTATTATAGGATAAAAAACTACTTACTGTATATTAAAAATTGAAGAAAATAATATATAAAAAACTAAAAATGAAATGAAGTAAATTTTATATTAAACATATATATATATATTCTGAATCAAACTAATTTATAATCTATGGTTAACATGTATTCTACTTAACATGCTGAATAATTGGTCTAAAATTTTTGATTAATTAGTAGCTGTCACTGTATTTAATAATAGGAAGATAGATGAAGAATTTCTCAGAATCAATGAAGTAAAAAAAAAAGAAACACTAATCTACATTTTAAATATATTCTTTCTAGATTCTTGTTTCTTTTTATTGGCCACTCAAGATTCATTGTCACCTTGTAGTTCAGACAGAATTCTTTTTGACAGGAAAGAAAAAAAGACTCTTGTCTTAAGTTCAAGATGAAAAAATATTATTTGATCGATCAAGAAAAAAACAATTAGAAAAGAATTATAAGATCATGAAAACTTCGCTAAGTTCAGATAAGATTGTTGTCTGACTTTCAAAATATTATGTGATGCCTATAAATACATACATGTAAATGACAGTTAGTAGCTATTGTGTTAAATATAGTGAACAAGACTCATTCTATTTGCATAATGTATGAGTTGCATGTCAAAGTCAAATAAGTGCACATATTGGATATGAGAAATTCATCTGCTGACCCAATTTGTAAGTTGAATCTTAGTTAGTTTTAGAAAACTACCAAAATAGTCTCTTAGAATAGAGAACATCGACGACAAATGAACTATTATCGATTCAAGGTGATGATGAGTATGAAGAAAACGAATTATAATAAAAGATATAGGTAGACTTTTTAGCATAAATAAATTATTTTTATTCCTTATTTCTTCTTACTGGAACATGTTAGGTTAATGACACATCTATGACTAATTGTTTTTTTTTGTTTTATTGTTGTAAATGTTCATCTATTCTTCTTATCGTATTTCATCTGAAGTTTGGGAAATTTGACATTCGTTTTAGTTATGTTTTGTTTTTCTCGCATGTATTTTGTTCATATTTTGAAGTAAAAATAGACAAGCAACAAAGTATATTCGTCTTTTTGATATATAGCGAAGGCAACATCTAAATTATAAAAATTAGACAAGTAATTCAAACTTAAAGAATCTTATCTGGAAAGATAATCCTAGCTTTAGCCGCGATACGATACACATGAATTTCGTCAGACAGTCACGATCTGTTTTTTTTTAGGTAAAAATCTTATACAGAAGTACAATTAAAAAGATTTTTGATAGGTGGTCAAAAAGAAAAAAAATCAAGAAAGAATAATGACAAAATTATCAATTATTGAGAGATTTTATGAGAGAAAAAATGAAATTACTCTACAAATATCAGTCGTATCAAACTTGAAAATCGAATTTAATTATGGAAGAGATCATAAGATATTCAACGACTCGTTTATTCAGTTCAGATATTTCGACAGAGATGTCTTGTTTGTGTTTTCACAAATATTTTAATATCTGAATAGCTGAGTTCAATAATTGAATTCGGGTTTCATATCAGACATATATGATTTTCTCATAGTCAAATTAACTCTAACTAAAAGAACTAAAATGCTGCTTCATATTCAGAGAGATTGCTATGTTCATGAACTCTAGAGTCTGTCTGTCTTTCTTGATTCAGAATTATTGAATATTTGATTACAATCAAGAAAATAGATCGGATTCTTATTTTTTCTTCTTCTAAGAAATATGTTTGATGATTCGTATTGATTCATTATCGGTCGATGTAATATGCTACTTGCCTCTAATTACTGAAAGTATGTTGTTGATTGTGAAAACTCTGTAACCTTTTGAAATGATGTGTCAAGATGAAATATGAATGTTTCCAACCAATTACTGAAAAGAATAAAAGAAAACATTCGCATTTTACTTAGCTTCATTCAAGTACCATAGTGTTGTGAGAAAAATTTAGTGACTAAGAAAATTTCTATGACGCAAAATATAGGTAACTATGCAACACTAGACAGAGATACAAAACAAAAGCACGAAGTAGTTCTTTTTCTGAGTCATTATCGGTAAGGATAATTATCTCAAAAGAAAGAACTAAAGTCATCACTTTTCATAATTTTTTTTTATCTATATTTGGACAAGTTGCTATTTGTTTAATTAAATCTCATATAAAATTATTCATTATATCGAATTGCAAAATGTAGCCATAAGCTGCTTTCTTTTTGTCTGCTTATAGACTTAATTAACAAGACACAAGAAAAAAAAATAAGTGTTTGGTCTGATGCGTCCTCATACAAACATATATTTCTGAGATCATGTAACAAATATTCAATTTTCATTCTGTGGAAAACAATTTATGACATGAAGAACTTTAGGAACATTCTATTGACTTTATGTTAAGATGTTTTTCTCGACAAGTCTTGTGAAGAGTGATGACTTCTTTCCTCGGTTTAATCCTTGTCTCAATGAGTTATTTTCTGCAAAATAAACTTCCATCAATTCGAAGACTTGCATTATTGTTAATCATCTTTTCTTTTCATGACATTCTTTTTCGTCACTCATTTGATCTTTCATTAGTCAACTACTCCTCAGAGACTTCATTAAATTCTCGATTCTATTTTCTATTAGCAATTCATTTTCTATCTCCAGACGTCGTGATATTTAATACTACAATTACTAATGACACTCTATGAGCTACATTCAAAAGATAGAAAATATTTTTACTCAAAAGTAAAAGAAAATTAATTGATTAACTACTTTTGTTAAAATAGAGAAAAAAGATTTATTACGGTCGTTTGAAAGATAATGTTATTCTAATAAAACCAATAGCAAAGGTACAGATCTCTAAGAACAATACGTGGAAGATTACTGATATAAAAAAATAACTTGCTCCATTGTTGATTTAATCCGAATACAACTTTCTTTTGACATCGTTTGTTTTGGTGGTAACATTGACTAATATGAAAAATATTAAATCATATTTATTATTAAACTAATATCATATAAACTACCTTGATAAACATATGATCAAAATTTGGCAATGGAAAAATAGCGATATACCGATATCAAAATGTACGAACATAAAAGTCTTGTAAATACGGAGAAGAAAATTAATACTTCCCCAAATTAAACATAAAACAAGAGGAAAAAACGCACCTCAAAAGTATTCTTCATCATCAATTATGTGTTTTTCATATTAAATATAGGATATTAAAGTAAGATCTGGAAGAATATGTGAATATAATAGCACACTACCTCAATTAAACGGAAATGCTTTAAAAACACGTGTATGTGCAGAAAATTTTTAGAACTTCTGATTTACTTGCAAAATTGTCTTCAAGTCGTCGTCTCTCATGAGTGAAGATGTTAGGTATTTCAAATATTTGCAATAGCTATGCATAAACACAAGACAATAACACACATATAGATTTGCATGTTGCAAATACATGCATTGAAACTCCATTTTTTTTAGGTGTTTAATAAAAAATATGCGACAATGTGCGTAACTCATATCCTTGCAAATAGTTGCATGCAACACTCTGGTATGTTCATGTAAGATTTATGACTCGCATGCAAATGTCACATTCTTATTAACTTGCACCTACGGCATGAGTACAATTTGATTAATTCCGTATCTCAAAGCAAAAGGTTGTATTTACGAAGACTATAATTTAAGTAAGGCTAAGTGCAGCGAATTGAAAGATAGTACATATAAGCTATTTTAATAGTTTCATTTTTTATTTCTTGTGATATTTCGACGTTTACAATATTAAAGTCAAACATCATCATCAAACTAACAATGTAGGATATTGTTAGAATATAATTCGTTATAGTTGTTGACATCGTCACGCTACATATTTCGCAAATTGTATGTGATCTCGGACAAATCATGTTGCAGTTTCTCTTGAACTTCGCGTTGAATTCTGACGAACTAATCACATGTCAGAAACTCGGTATAGTTTTAAATACACTCATCGTATTTTTTTATGAATTTTTTGCATTTTTGCTGCGACCTGAGTATTGATCGAATTTAGAGTTTTTAGCTCTTTTTCTTGAAATGCTTTTTCTGATTTTTGACACATTTCATTCGTACAGTATGACGTCTCATTTTCTTTTTATATCTTTCGAACCATATTCGCTAATTGTCGAATTTTTTCATCGCGTTCAGTGTGTTCCGAACGATTTCGACATTGGACCATTCAGCGTTGTAAAGGTTCATCTGCTTCCTGAAGATATTGATCGGCTGTCTTGTCATCATCCAAAATATCTTCTTCTCGAGTTCACTGGAACGATAAGCTGTCAGCAATACGGTAAGAAATACATGTGGCACAAGACTAACTATCGTCTGAAGTAATCAACAAATCTCTTTTTTCTTTTATTTCTTTGAGATCAATATTCTTGTTGAATAGATCAAGTGTATCATAAACAATCGGAATAGTCCCATAAAATTCGCGATAACGCACTCCACATTTTTTTAAAGTGTTCTTTATTAGCTATCGAATCAAGCTGGAATTAGTAGACATGAATGAAACCTTTGAGAGCTGTAGTGAAATTTGTGAGTGCAATTCTTTTTGCAAACAACTGTATGTTTTATTAGAGTCATCATAGAAAAAAAATGAACACGACTTATAAGAAACCGAAAAAAAAGTCATGAAAAGTTGACTGCTGTTTTAAAATTCAATGAGATGGTCTTTTTAGTGTTTTTTATATGTACAATATGTACCGTGTTTGAAAAGCAAGGTACAAATAAAAGGTGGATTTACTTTTTTTTGTAAAGACTTTTTAAAAAAATGAGACTTGTCTCACGGAAAAAAACACAGATTTAACTGACTTTCTCTAAAACGAAACGATAGTAATAAGTTCGAGGCAGAAAAATTTTTCGATAGGTCACTTGTCAAGCTGAGATTTTGTTTTACCTCTATTGTATATGTCTCTTAACAAAATCGATCAAATTCCGAGACAGACAATTTTGATAGGTTACACTGAGCTGATTTAGACGTTTGGCACATAGACACTTTAAACTTATATTCGTTTTTTGTTTTAACAATTCTATCCAATGAGTGTTTGACGTACAATCCAAAGGAGTCATTCCAGCTTGATTAATATAATCCAAATGTAATCGACTTGTATTCAAAAAAATATTCAATATTGGCTCTACCACTGACAATTTCGAATCAGAAATTGTTCGAAGAAGAAGATGCAGAGGTGTATTTCCATTCGTATCAAAGGAGTTGACATCAAAATTACAATCAATTAGTAATTGGATGGTATCAACACATGGAAAGCTGCAAGAAAACATAGGAATGTGCTTTATGTGAATCAAGAGAAAGCAACAAAGATCTATACACACGATGGTTTGTTTTGTTCTATATTACAATAAATAACTGTGTTTGAATCACAACATAGATGCAAAAGCGTTGAACCAGCAAATTTCTTACGAATATTTAGTCGTTTTATCCACTGAATCAGTTCATGTAGCTGTTGTTGCTCATCTTCTTTAAAATTGAGCTATAAAAGAGGAAGAGAAAAAGGTATATGAGTCACTCGCTGTGAAACTTTTATCTTACACTCACACCTTTGTGGAAACATAGATAAAGAACAAAATGCTGTCTACAAAATGATTGTATTCAATGTTACGGGGAACTTTCTTGGTTTCAGTTGGGTTTTGACAAAAACGTCTAAATTGATTGATTGCGAATTTTAAAACCTCTAAAAATGTTGTAGTTGAAATGGTTTTCCACTTCACTGATAGCATTTCACAATAGAGTTCACCAAAACCTCGTACACCTTCAGAAATATACATCACTCTGTCATTAAGATTTATACCACACATATCGATGTTATCGTCTCTAGTAGAAAGTTCTAACCCATGAAACCACAAGTGAATACAACGATCATATATTTGCTGTTGAACATACATCCAACCTTCATACCAAATACAGTATATTAGCGAAGTGCAACTCGTAGGTGGTAAGAGACGTTCAAGAATGAGTAGCGCTTCTAGACGAAGAGACTCATTCTCGTAACAAATTGATTCTAGTTCAGAGATCGAAACACATTCTGGGCGATAGTTATAAGCTGCGATTGGCTGAACTAATGGTGTCAGATTAGTTTTTAGATTACCACTCGATGTTCTTAATTTCATTGCTTGCATGATATACTCGTAGGCTTTTTCTAAATTATAAGTTTCTTTGTTTCTACATGCAAATGATGCACCTAATAATTCCAACACTTCAATCTTCTCTTTAACTCCAATCAGATCTTCAATGCTTAACATATAATTAACAGCTTCTTCATCTGTACTTTCAGCAGCCATTTCTAATGAAGTCATGTTCTTTGCATTTTTAATATCTATTCGCGCATTATATGATAGTAGAAGTTTAATGATTTCAATGTTATTACGCTCTACAGCCCAATGTAATGTTGTATATCCGTTATGACTTTGATGATTGACATCTATATTAGGTTGTTGTAATAGATACTTCATTAATTCTAAATGACCACAATGTCCAGCTATGTTTAAACATGTAACATTTCCTTTATTGACTCTACTAATATCACCCTGCGCTTCTTCAATCAAATATTTAACAATATCAGCTCTGCCAAGACTAGACGCTACATGCAATGGCGTTGCACCATAGTTATTCACAGTATTAACTTCTGCTCCATTTTCAATTAATAATTTGACCATATCGAAATTCCTCAAAACTACAGCTGTCAACAGTGCAGTTACGCCGTCTGTCAACCCAGAGTTAAATATAATTGCACCTTTAGTTTCTAGATTAATCAACTTTCGAAATTTACTCAAGAGCATTTTAACCAAATTAATACGACCTTCTAATACAGCAATCATTAGTATTGTACACATTTGATTATGTTTGTAGTTGTACACATGATTAAAACATGAATTTAATTCATTATCAGTTGAACACAATTTCCAGAGGAGTCTTTCCAATGCTGCGAGACTTTCGTATGTTTCGCTGAAAAATGATATAAGAACATCATATAATCCATTTCTTGTTTCAGCCATGCAAAAGAATTATTTTCTGCTGTGAATATGGTTTCTATCTGCTCTATGAAATTTATATATACTTGAATGAGAGTAATAAAAGAAAGATAAAAACGTGATAATATCAATAAAAAATCGTTTTATGCAATAAGTTTTGTTTCTGTAAGTAAAGAATCGTAAAAAAAATAAGGGGAAAAAGTGAATATCATGGGCAAAAAACCCAGTCACTTTTGTTGAAAATTGTAAAAGAATGAGTCAACACAGTTAACTAAGAAAACTAGGGATAAAATCGTAGTTTTTGGTTTACAGACTGTACGATACTAACGTTTTTTTTTGCCGTTACTTGTTGCTTGAAAGACGTATTATTACTTCAGGCGATTGCCTAGCAACTAATCTGGAACAGAAAAGATGATACCGTGTTACATTCTTTCTCAGCTGACGAGAGGATGTGAGTGTGAGTGTGCATGGGTGTGAGAGAATAGAAAATTCACATCCACATGCAGATCTGACCATCCACACCCATACTCATCCAATGGTTGACTCAACAAGTTTTCCACAAACTATGTATCATCCCTAATCCCTGTATCCATGATAAGTAATCGAAGCAATACTGCTGTTCTACATCGAACCTATTAAACAACCGACGATTGCGGAATATCAACTAGCTTCACGATTAACGAAAATAAATTATCTGCATTACACAGAGGACGAGCGTAATCAATTAAGACAAAGACTGCACACCAAAGATTCACACCGGTTTGGCAATCTCATAATTCATTATACGTATGAAGAACGAGTCAAACTCTTAATGAAATGTATTCATAAATTATAGATGCAAACATTTAATAAAACAGAAGTCATCAAAGCAAGACTCATCATCGATACCCATAACACTAGGAACCTCAAGCAAGAGCTCGTACGTAGACGTCCTCCTCAAGAAACCGCATCTACAAATAACGACCATTAACATAAACAGCTATCAGTGCCAACATTCTAAAAAGACAAAAGCATTTCGAACAATAAAGACGATTAAATTTGCTAAACAAATAATTGTAAATAAACAACCTTTTTCTTGTTCCTTATAAATACAAAAAATAAAAGAAATAAAACTTGCGAAATATAGACCTACGTTCTCAAACCTACATAGAATCTCAAAGACTCTCAATATCCACATATATACCACTTCTGTCTGCAGTCATCATTCCTCATGTAGTTGATTACGATCAAACTGCGATCGCTTTTTCTAGACGAGATGACAATATAGATTAGATTTGAAGTTTGTAAATATTTTTATTGTCAATTGCAAATGATTTTTTCGATTTTTCATAAAAATTACGGAACATAATTTTAAGAAAAACAAACAAAAATTAAAAATGCATACAAATCAAAACAGTACACAAAAAAGTTACAAAAATGGTGACAAAAGATTAAAATCTTTTTTATATCTGAAAAACTTTTAAAAAGTTGAAAAATGGAAAAAAACAATTGCAAAACATAACATAAATGAAAAAAAATAAAAGCTTTTTTAAAAAATTGAGAAATTAACAAATTTAAGAAAATTAGCCATTTTTTTAAAGTTAAAAAGTATTGATAATGATAAGAATCTGAGCTTGGATTCGAATTCAACATTCTCGAAAGTCCCTGAAGGCTTGATTTCGAGAAAAAAATGTATGTGGAGGAATGTTCTATTTGTTATAGTAAAATTAATTATGAACTACAGTTTCACTAAGACTTTCTTGTCTACGATGCCTCTGTGGCTAACTTTTAGCAGTAGGTTTGATCGATTACGATTATGTAAGAACTACTTGTAATTGGTTGATATCGAATAGACTGAATCACATGTTTCGAAACTGCGACGCAGTTGTTTAAAAGGAGACGATATGCACGCATTCCTTCACTGAGAATCCACTGAATATCTTTTTGATAATTTTCATATCGTGCTTCAACAGATATATTGTCATGTCCATCTGATGAGTCTCATTGCACAGACGAAAACACGGCCATGATTCCTAGAACAACATCCTACTCTTCTTTCAAGATTCCATCGTTCAAAATATGTAGGTCAATGTAACTTATTTATGATCTTTCGATCATCTGAATGGTTGCGACGTCATAGCTACCTGAAGAGATCCTTAACCTTTTGAGTAGGGGATTATTTTTATATTGTAAAAGTTTTTTAATTTCAAATTAACATTTATTTTGCAAAAAATATCGCAAAATACATGATTCAAAGTCTTTTAGAGTGCAATAGTATTTAAAACGATCCATAAGACACAATGATCCTACATCACATTCAATACATTCATATGAAATATCTTTTTTTAACTTGGCTCCCTTCACAGCAATAGCATAAACGTAACATTTTCATCTTTGATTTCCTTGAATTGCTGTTGATGCATTCCGCGAAGGGAAATCTCGTGCTGTGAGTCGGAGTGGACTTTCAGAAGGTGGTCGACTTTTGTCCTTCGTGACCTTTTATGTCAAAAACTGCACTTTGTGTGATTTATCAAATACGATCAACTGACCAGTATCTTTCCTATAGATGGTGCTCTTGAATGAGTTTCATAACACCAAACATCCTTTCGAGAGAAATGTTGTCAAATTGGCTCATGTTCTAACTCATCAAATCAGATTCTGATTGCCAAAAATATTAAGGGATAACCAACAATCATCACTAAGTATGGATAATCTTAACCATGCAAATACCCTAAACACAAATACTCATGCAATCCATATCATTAAATAATCAACAGATCGTGTTTTTTCAAATTATTCAAGTCCCAAAATACCAGGACAGGAAGTCACATCGCTTGTACTCAATGGGTTAAGCAAAGTCGAAACGCGTCCTGGTTTGCTTGGTAAATTCACGCCCATATCCTGAACAGCACAGGATTGGCTCGATATCGAATGGATGTTGTGATCAATTGCACTGGATTTTTCTGTCGGGCGGATGATATGGTTCCATTACTAGCAGAGTACGTAGAGATTCCTTGAATTCCTCTCATTTCGATTGCATATCGTGTTGGTAGTCTTTTGAATGTGAATGAAAAAAAAAACAAATGAACAACATCTGATGGATACTCTCGAACAAGCAGCTCATGAACGGCGAGAGCAAGAAATATCTATTGGCATATATAATTTTACATCATGTGCAGGAGAACTGGATCCTCTTGTTTTTATTCTTGTTCGAAAAGGAACATTCTCGACTTTCTTGCACAAAAAGTTAGTGACCGATCGTATGAGTCTAGTACAAATATAATTTCATCGATTCTTCAAGAATGAAAATCATATTCGATTCGTTTACGACAATCGAATTGATACGTATTCATCCTAATTAACAGTCTTAATTGTGTATCTTGACTTATTTTTATCAATATAACTTCAAATTTCATTTTCATTCTGCAACGATAAAAAAGACAGGCATCTATTCAAAAATAGTCTGAGTAGTGTGCTCAAATTTCTGACGAGAGAATTAGGCACTGAATCGAAGAGACGTCACGGTACGGTCTCATTCTCTTCCGTAGGTGTTAGCTACAATGATGGGAAACTAATTAAAGTAAATATTATTCTTAGTTGGTTCGTACATTGACTTAAATTATACTGATTTTATTCAAGTATTAGACGCAATGAGATTTGTCAAAAGTCGTTTTCTTTAGCAGTGTTTACACTATTCTTTTCAGGATGAAGCAATCGCATTATATCGCACTATTTTTACTGAATTATATATCATGGAGTGTTTGCATCCTATATGTTGTAAGCATAAGATAGTGTTATCAAGCGCGTTGGAAAAGTCGTCTAGCTTTGGATAAAATAAAATCACTGTTTAATTTCTGGCTCTCATGTGTCGATAAGACATGTCATGAAATAGACCTCCTTTTTTCTTATTGCAATTGATCGCTGATACTCTGAATCTTTTTTCAAATAGGCCCCATCGTACTCTTATCTAACGCACACAAACATCTGTTGACGTTTTTTTTATTGAAAATGACCATGGCATTTTATCGCACAAGAAAAAAATAATGTGATAAACGTTAACGAGATTGAATCAAATTTGAGACAAGCATTTTTTGTTAATAGTTTGAAAAGCGATGAACAGCATATAACAGCTACAACCTTGAAATAATGTTTACAGATCATTCAATTTATTTTAAAACAAAATGAAATGCTTCTTATTCATATAATTTTTATATGTTTACTGTAATAAATGTTCGATATCCGATCTGTGAGGATAACAAAGTCATCTACAATGCTATGCCCAACTCTCCAACGCACGATCTATAATATTCTACTCAAGTTGTTTTCACGCGTATATGATAGCAGTTTACAACCCATTTTATATTGACATCTTATGCTTTCGTACTTGTTCTTTTCCAAATGAAATAGTCCATTTCAGTGGTATCCGAACTTCTAGCTAACTATTCATTGGATATTATAATTTGAGTTTTAGAGTCCTTCATATCAGCAAGTATTTTTTTTTATTATATGATCCCAATCATTATCATGATGAAAAATCATTTTTCTTTTTATGTGGCCAGGACATTAATGAGGAATTTTTATGTTGGTTAAATGTTTCAATCGTATATTCGATGTAGTATCAACTGGTTATTCTTGAGTCATATTCAATGAACTATAACTCAATTGTGTCGTGTATACTCACATCGACTTACAGCATCACAACAATAGAATTTAAATATTTTCATTGACTATTTTTTACCTTGCTCTGATAGTTCATTGCTTCTAACGTCATAGCTGTCTCTAACATATTGACTTGCACCATACTCANTTTTGGATACCTTCTACCAATCAAGTTTGGCAGGCTTCGCAAAATTTTTAAGATCCAAAAAATCTAGAGATTTTGC